GGAAAGAGTTCTTTCATAAGGAAAGCAGAGAAGATAGAGCACAGAAACCTCAATTCGGGCAGAGTGAGTTCATGTCACTTAGATTTGCCATCAAGGACACTCATTTCTCATTGCCATCTTGCATGTGAGTTTCCCTTCTGGAAATGAAAGTGGGCGGGTTTTATAGACAGGAACCAGGGCCTGGGACCACAAGTGTGCACTTACACGTCCAAAGCCGGGCTCTCCACGCTGTCTTTACTACTGTGGAAATGTGCACAATGCCAACGTTTCCTACAAAGGGAGAGGGTGGCCGGCTCTCCCACTGGGGGTCTAACTGTCCTGTCCACTAAATGAGGGGCTGATGCTGCGACCCCCACTGTCGGCCACACGTGCACTCTCACGTGCCTCCCGATGAGGTAAATCAACACCTCGAGGACTCTCACCAGGACTGGCTCCCTGGTACACAGGGAACACCTAGCGGTGGTGCTGGTCAGAGAGCGCAGGACTTAACGACACAGCAGACGGGAGGGCCTCGCTCCACAGCAGTAAGCAAGGTAGACGAAGACACGGAAACTCCCTGCTGCTCACTGATATGCGACAGGTCCCTCTTGGTCCCCGTCACAAAGGAGAGCCACTGCTGGTAACGGCTGGCCAGTGGGCTCCGCACCGCTCCTCCCTGCTGGGACCGCGGGGCTGCAGCCCAACGACGGCGAGTGGCCCAGCTACACAGCTCTGAGCGAAGTGGGAGGGCCTCCTTTCCAGGGTGCTCTCAGCCTGGCCCTGGGCCGTGCGTGTTGTTCTGCTCAGGGCTGTGGGAAGAGGTGGCGGAGGTGCCCCAGAGACTGCCCACCTTCTGCCGACCAAGCCCCGTGAGCTTGTTACAGTTCAAGGGTTTACACTTCAGTGAAGCCCTGTGCAAGCAAACGGAAAACCTTCCCTGACTCTAAGGAAGGGGTGGCAGGCGGACAGCACACCACACTGTGAAGCAAGCCACCAGAAAACCGAGACGCGGTTCACGGGACAGGCCGGCGTCCACCTGCTGAGCGGCAGCTCGTGCAGCCCTGGGCCGATGACGCTGGTGCTCTGGAGTGCTCACTCTGCACTTCGTCATCAGCCACTAAACCCCAGCTCTCTAGTCTTGCCTTGAGAGACACTGCCTGCTGCTATCATCATCCATGCCTGTGTCCCCACAGTTCACAGACACCAAGGTGACCAAAAAGAAAAAAGATACAAAGGACCTGGACAGACTCTTGGCAACAGTATAATCATCTGACACACTGACGAGCGTGCAGGATTTCAACGCATGTCTGGCAGCGATGCCGAGACATGGAGGAAAGGCATCAGACTCACAGGGCCGGAGAGCTGGACAGCACTCACTCACTCCTGCTCGGCAAGGGTGCCAGCCAGCAGCTCGCAATCACTACCACCATCTTCTGCCTAGCAAATGAGAGAAAGATATTATGGACGCACTCACGACCTGAACGGCGGCACCTCCCTGGTAACCATCACTCCCTGCTTGTGGCTAAGTGCACAGGGCCGTAACTGGAGACACTCACATTCCTGGGAGCCACACAGTGGAAGGACCACGGCAAAGATCTGCTGCACAGGGAAAGGGACACACCCTGGCGGGGCCCTCACAGCGTTCTCTCAGTTAGAAGTGAAATGAACCTCCCAGGATGCTATCGGCCATCAACAGTATGGGCGTTAAAAAGTAAGAATCACCGAGGAGACCCAAGGACTACAGCAAAGACACCCAAAAGCTAGCTGCAAGAAGTTAAAACAGTCCACTGTCAGCACCAATAGTTGTAGTAGATTTCTGTATCCCAAGATCAGAAGGTAAGCCAAGGGTACCGTGAGAGAGCCTGCCAAGCGCCAACCTGCACACTCAGAGGGATCGAGGCCAAAGGACAGGGAGACAGAAACGCTTCTCCCTGCCCACCACTGGCCTGAAATGTGTGTGCGTGGATTTCATCAACTTTTTTATGCGTTTTTAAACAGAAAAAAGATTTTGTTTTTCTAATAACAAGGAACAGTTTCTATATGCCAAGGATGTACTAACCCTGCACAGTATACAATAGATTCTACCTTTTACCTTCCTTAAATATGAATTAAAAATAGTAGTTACAGAACAATTATTGGGTAGCTGCAAAACCAAAATCCCACTCCGGATATTCTTTAAGAACGATTTAATTTATTATTTTTTTCTTTGACAGAGATTTTTTGCTATAGGGCGCATATGCTTGCTGGAGAGACAGAGAGAGAGATCAAGAGACAGAAAGTGAGAATCGCCCTCCAAGGGGGATGGCCATGCCACAATCCCTTCTCCTCCAGTCTCCTCTCGGGAACTTGGGCACGCACGCATGCACACGCGCCCGGCGTGAGCTGTAAGCCGCTGGTTCCATGTGGGAGGGAGTCCAGCGATGTGACCATTATGCCATCTGCCAGTCCCATTACTATTTTTAAATTTGCTACAAGGCACATGTGCTCACCAGAGAGAGACAGAGACACAGAGAGAGAAAGGGAGAAAGCAAGTCGCCAGGCCTGGGACTTGAGCCGTGGTTGGCCGTGCAGGAATTCAAGCACCTTAACCACGAAGTCACCTGCTAGCCCCTTATTGTGATATTCTAATAAGTTGAGTTTTACATAAGGATAAATCCACCCCTTATGCTAATACAGAGAATGGGGAAGCTCTATTCAGATGTTATGTGAAGTCTGACTATTAAAAGAAATACTGCCTTTTTGTACATAAGACTATTCCAGCATAGATCTTCCTGTAAGATGTGACAAACATTTTTTTCTTAAATGACATACATGACTAAAGAAACAATAATTGAAAAATAGAGCTATTATAAATATGCAAATATAACATACTACAAAAAGGAACCGTTAAACATGTATGTATTCAGATCTGCTATGTTGGAGGCCTTTAACTGCTTCAGATGGTCTCTTTCTAGAAAAGGTTGTAACAGCTTTGTGACTTATATGTGGAAGTAAGAACTTGGAAATATTAAAATTATGAAGAAAACAATCTCCAACAGGAAAATAACACTCCAACGATTTTAGAGAGGAAGCAGTTGGACGCAAGAACCGAGGCGTGAGCCATCAGGACGCCACACACAGACGCCAGGTCCGAGGGCTGTGTGGGCCAGCAGCTGGCGCGGAGGGTGCGGCACTGGACCCCACGGGGCTGGTGGGCACAGGCTAAGTCCTAGACCTGGGGGCTTGAAAATCAGGCCGGGCACACGTACGTGGGTACCCCAAATCCTAAAAAGAGATTGGAAGAGGAGGGACTAAGCATGGCCACCCCCGGGGGTGACTTCTCACTCTCCTCTCTCTCTGGCAAGCGCGTGAGCCCTACAGCGGAAACCACCGAATAAAGGAGGCGGCGTGTGACATCAAGGACCTGCAGAGACCTCTGACACAGGTCATGATGTTCTCACTCAAGACCACAGCGGTCACAGGAAACACGGCTACCCAAGGAAGTAAACGAGATGAGAGAAGGCTCTGAAACAGCCCGTAAATTACATATTCATTTCAGTTTATAAAGCCGAAAATACAGCAGTTTTTAAAAATGGAGTTGTTTTTTAAAAACATGCATTAAAACTTTCCCATCTGCCTGTGTGCTCTCTCTCTTATTTTAAAAAAAACACCCACATTTAAAAAGCAGTAAGTCATTAAATCCAAGATTATCCTCTCTTCAGGAAAAATAAACCTAAAATAATTATGCTCTTAGAACTTAGCCAACATTAGTTTAGTTTATAGATAACAATGTTTACATGGCAATCAATTAAGCTCAACTACTGACTTTTTTTTTTTTTTTTTTCTTTAGGGTATATGCACTCGCCAGAAGGACAGAGACAGAAATGAGAAATCACCCCCCAGAGGGGATGGCCACGCCACAATCCCTTCTCTTCCACTCTCCTCTTGGGATCCTGGGCACACATACACACAT